TTGTGTCGCTTTGTTATGTATGTATATATTACATAATCTTAAAGAAGCATAAAGTGTCTCTAGTTTAAAGCCTTGCTAATCCCAAATCCAAATCCATGGACTGACGGCATAGGGTTCACTGACCTTACCCAGTTTGTGAGAAATGCTAAATCTCAAAGTCTCCACCCCAGAGCTGAATCTTAATATTCCCCAGTTGATGTGGGTCTTCATTTAAATTTGAGAAGTTATGCTTAAAATTTATGGAATTCTGGCATGGTATTGTCTTGGACAAGTTAAACTACAAGCTTTAGGGCAGGAAACCTAGCCAGAGAGATAGAAATGGAATGACTCATTGAGCTCTACAATCTGTGAAGTTTAGCTGCATTTCTTTATTATGCCTTTTTTTTTTTAAGTATGTTTTTCTTTCTTACTTGCTTTCTCTTTTGCCACCAGCTTGGGTAGTCTCAGGAAATAGATTTCCAATAGGGATGATAAGGTAAACAGGATAGGCAGAATATTAGATATGAAACAAATAACTCAGGAAAAGAAACACTCAAATAATATGAACAAATGAGCAGGCAGAAGTCCTGAATTCTTAAGTAGAAGGGACAGTAATGAAGGTTCTCAGGTGGAACTTAATTTGCTGTTAACTAAAGCTGTGCTGTCTTAATATTTTACCTGTACTTTCCAATCAGTAACATAGCCCCTGGCCACATGTGATTGTGTGCAGCTTCTCAGTCCTACTAGCCACTTCTGAAGTGTTAAGGCTAGTGGCTGTGTTACTGGAAAGTACAGCTAATAGAGTATTTGTATCCTAAAACATTGTATGGGGAAGAGCTGCTCTAATAAAATTTGACCTTAGGACAATTTAAATGGACAATGAATGGAAAATTCCTGTGAGAAAGGGTTGCTGCTCTGGGTGAACATGTCCATTTTACAACTAGGTTAACAGTAGTTACCAGAAGGGGGACATGCTTCTGAAGTACGAAAGTTTATGCAGTAGGTTCATTTTTATTCTAAGGAGACCTGAGAACATTGGTAGGCTGGCCTGGTTACAGCCAAATCCAATAAAACATGAGGATTTGAGTTGTAACTGAGAATGTGGCTAACATGAACACCTTGTTAGTATCTTTAAGTTGGTATCCTTAGCAAAGTTGCAGAGGGTTTCCTTGTGAGGGAGACTTTGGAAAAGAATTAATGATGTGATAATCTTCCTCACCTTCATTTCGCTGGTAGCAGCATTTGCTGCTCTGATTATGACACGTATTTGAATACTAGTCCTGAACAGCTAAGTGACTGGACAAGTCCCGGAACTCCTCAACCAAACTCCTTCATTATATAAGAATGGTCTGGCTAATTACCACTTCTGATAGTTCTGGAGTGATTTTTACCTTTGGCATTCTTCACCATTAGCTTCTCTTTCAGTCTATTAGCACGCTTGAGGCTTAGCTGTTTCATACTGTTTAATTTCTTAGTCTGTTGGCTCATTTTATCTAGTGTCCTGAAAAGAATATGGTTTATATTCTTTTTTTTTTTTTCCATAATTGCCCCATCAAGTACTAACAGTGTTCTTGTCTAAGTTCACCTTGTCTTTTGGGTCTGGCCAGATCTGTGTTTAGTTTGTCCTGGGCTTTGTAACAGAAAATAACGTACTGTGTGTGTAAAGCCTGACTGGCTGTCATTACGTAAGTGGGATGCAGTTGCCCAGGTGCGGTATCCTGTTACTGTGTAAGTGGTGGACAGTAGAGCAGGATGGTGCCGATGGTGAGAAATCATACCAGGAGACTAGATTCAGTGCTGTCCAGTGAAAATGAGGGAACCACACTGAAAAAGGTAAAAGAATTAGTGAAAGTGTTTTACCCTAGTATCTCTAAAATGTCACTTCAATATTCTAAGAATTGGTGGCATTTTACTTTTTTTGTACTAGGTCTCGTAATCAGCATGTATTTTACGCTTAAAGCACACCTCAGTTTGTCCTAGCCACTTTTCAAGTCACATACGGTGGATGGCCACCCTTTTAGAAAGCACTTCCCTAGATTGGTTCAGGTGTTAAATCTTTTGCTTTTTTCCTTAAAAGTGTGAACTAGAGGAACTGTATTTAACTCACCATAGCATGCTTTCCTTTCGTTTTCTTTGCTGAAAACCTCTCTTAAGCTTATCTAGTAAAATAAAACTTGGTCTTAACGTGTGCTTTTCACTCTCTATAGAGTCCTTCCTCAAAATTTTCAGGGATTTACATGCATTTATTTCCTTTGACCTCTTCCATTTTCTATACTGGCTCTTTGTCCTTTGCTTCTCTCTCTACAAGCTCTTAGCAATTTCCTCCATGCTGCCTTTAACTGCTACCATCTACTAACTGAGAATTTCCCGAGTTTCCACTGCCTACTCCCCCGCTCTTCAAAATGAACCTTCCCTATGCTGAACTTAAAGAACAATATTGCCTATTTGACCATCCACCCGGTCACCTTCAGAGTAATCCTCAAATCCTACTGACATCTGCTCTTCCGGTTGAAGCAGTAGTGACTGTTGGGAAGTGCTTTTCTCCTCTGGAGAAATCTGTGTTTCCTTTTTTTTTTTAAAGATTTTATTGATTTGAGAGAACACCAGCAGGTGTAGAGGGAGAGGGAGAAGCAGACTACCCCTAGTAGGGAGCCCGATGTGGGGCTTGATCCCAGGACTCCGGAATCATAACCTGAGCCAAAGGCAACCCTTAACCGAGCCACCCAGGCGCTCCTATTTTTCCTTTCCAGATTATGTCTATGAAACCTATCCTTATTAATCTTTCCCTCTTTTCCCTTAGTACGCTGGTACTAAATGTTTTCTTGGTAAATACTGGAGAGCCAAATAAAACAGGTAATTAGTTTTTTTGAGGAGACGGCAGCATAGGTGTGTATTTGTCTTGAATTTTTTTTAAGATTTATTTTGGAGATAGCACTAGCAGGAGGGGCAGAGGGAGAGAGGGAGAGAATCTCGAGAAGACTCCATGCTGAGCGGGGAGCCTGACATGGGGCTCAATCCCAGGACCCTGAGATCATGGCCCGAGCTGAAACCAAGAGTGGAACACTTAACCAACTGCGCAACCCAGGCTCCCTGTCTTGAATTACTTTTTTTTTTTAGGATTTTTATTTGTCAGAGAGCACAAGAAGGGGGCTCAGGGAGAGGGAGAAGCAGGCTCTTCGCTGAGCAATGAGCCCTACATGGAGCCTGGGATCATGACCTGAGCTGAAGGCAGATGCTTAACTGACTGAGCCACCCAGATGTCCCTTGAATTATTTTTTTTAAAGGAGTTACACGTTTTTGTGGGTTTTTTTTTTAAAGATTTTATTTTATTTATTCATGAGAGGCAGAGAGGCAGAGGGAGAAGCAGGCTCCCAAGGAGCAGGGAGCCCGATGCGGGACTCGATCCAAGGACCCTGAGATCATGACCTGAGCTGAAGGCAGATGCTTAACTGACTGAGGCACACAGGGGTCCCTCCCCTGCATTATTTTTAAAAGTCAGTAAAATTATTGCCTGTTTCCATTCCCCAGAGGCAATCATATATAGTATGATGTACATGCTGGGTTTTTGTTTTTTTTTCAAAGATTTTATTTATTTGACAGAGAGACAGTGAGAGAGGGAACACAAGCGGGGGGGTGGGAGAGGGAGAAGGGGGCTCCCCGCTGAGCAGGGAGCCCAACGTGGGGCTCGATCCCAGCACCCTGGGATCATGACCTGAGACGAAGGCAGTTGCTTAACGACTGAGCCACCCAGGAGCCCCTTTTTTGTTTTTTTTTAAAGATTTTGTCAGAGCGAAAGCGTGCACAAGCAGGGGAAGAGGCAGGCACAGGGAGAAGCAGCCTCCTGCTGAGCAAGGAGCTCGATGAGGAGCTCAATCCCAGGACCCTGAGTTCATGACCTGAGCTGAAGGCAGATGCTTAACTGACTGAGCCACACGGGTCCTTCCCTTGCATTAGTTTTAAAAGAAGTCAAAATAAAATTACTGCCTCTGTTTTCATTCCCCAGAGGCAATCATATATAGTATGATGTACATGCTGGGTTTTCTTTTTTTTTTTTTAAGATTTTATTTATTTATTTGACAGAGAGACAGCAAGAGAGGGAACACAAGCAGGGGGAGTGGGAGAGGGAGAAGCAGGCTTTCCGCCGAGCAGGGAGCCCGATGCGGAGCAGGGAGCCGGATGCGGGGCTCGATCCCAGGACCCTGGGACCATGACCTGAGCTGAAGGCAGATGCTTAACGACTGAGCCACCCAGGCGCCTCTTCTTTTTTTTTTTTTTTTTTTTTATGCCTTATAAAACTCTCTTTGGATATGAGCATCTTTTCATGTTAGTATATATAGATCTACCTCATTCTATATTTGAATGTATAACATTAAAGTTTCCCTAGTCACAGTACATTGAATATACCATTATTAGTAGCACTTACATTACCATCTTAATCAGCCCATCATTCACTAAATCAGAGTTACTGGTGTGCCCAACTTACTGATACCAGTCCTATTCTTTTCATATAAACTGCACAAATAACCTCCTTTATTCAGGTTTTCTGTCCCTTATTTCCCATAATTACTACTCAAACTACATGCCCTCATTTTTCAGTTACAGTTGAAATAAGGTTAAAATTTCAATTAGGTTTTTTAAAAAAAATTGTATTATGTAAGTTTTAATAATACTTTGACCAAATGTTTTAATTTACTTTCTTCCATGGGAAATTTGCTTTTGAAAGCGGTGTATTTACAAAATGTCATTAGAGAATCAGTTTCATACCTTCTGTGCTTGCCCCATAAATGTACCTGGGCCCTGGGGTAGAGCATGGGATAGGCTAGCACCTGTTAATCGTGACTACTTCTGGAGAGGGTTGGCCAGGGTGAATTTTCAGTAGCCACTGTCCCCTTCCTTTCACCACCTACCATAGCTTACAAGAAAAATTAGTCCCAATTTAGCATTCTATTGCTGAAGCTCCCAAGTTCAATTCTAGGTCAAGTCCAAACATATGACAAATATAAGGATGATGATGACTCACATTTGTAGCTAGGAGTTTTAAGCCCAGCAGGGTCCACACATGAAGCACACATTCTGAACACATAAATACATGACTTTTTTTTTCTGAAATGAATGAATAATAAATATATAAGCCTGAAAATACACAGTCATAGAACACTTTACAAATTATAAAAAGAAAGGTAATAGTCCTGGTTTACTGTTACAATTTGGCAGTCAAAACAGTTCCTAAAGGAGATTAGACTGCTGTTCCTCTTTCTAAATTCTGTTTAATTTCAGCTGTGTATTTCCCATAGAATCTTTCTGCTTTCTTGTTGAATTTGGCATTCCTTTCATTAATGTAGTCGATGTCTGCATCATCATCATAAGGACGTCTCCGGCTATACTTGTCTCGTTTTTCAATTCTGGAGGAAGGAAAAAAAAATTGACAAAATTCAAAATTGCCTTCTTTTTTTGATTTTAATAAAACATGCCCAAATAGTTAACTAAGAGCAGAATCAGTAATGGAAACATACACAAAATTCTAAGCTGCTTTTTTTTTTTTTTTTTAAATATTTTATTTATTTGACAGAGACAGAGATAGCAAGAGCAGGAACACAAGCAGGGGAAGGGGGAGAGGGAGAAGCAGGCTTCCCGTTGAGCAGGGAGCCTGATGGCGGGGCTTAGTCCCAGGACCCTGGGATTATGACCTGAGCCGAAGGCAGATGCTCAACTACTGAGCCACCCAGGCGCCCCTCTTTTTTAGTTTTAAGACTGAAAACAATCTCTTCAGGAAAAAATTCTTTGAAGAAGTATGTTCAATGAACTTTAATGAATTTTATAAGTTAATAGTACTGTCAGATGATTTAGTTTTAAGATTGGGAACACAAGTTCATGTTGAAAGTACAAGGGCAGTGACATATTACACTTCTTTGAGATAATTTATATATATATATACTGCTGGTTTTGCCTAATAATTACCCTATTCAAACACAAATATACAAGTAATAGTGATGGGACCACTCTTCAAACTAGTAATTCAGGCATTCCTTAATTTCTACCTTCTGCTACACCACTTCAAGACCCCAGTTAATTTTGTCATGAGGCATGAAATCAGTACTAAAACTTAAGGCTGTATGATAGTACTTACTGCTTTTCCAAGGCTATGACCATCCTATCAATTTCCTCTGTGGAGGGTACATGTGTTCCATGAAGAAGACTGTTGGATGTTGGGTAAATCTCCTCTCCACTGAGAAAAAGCAAGGTGTAAGTAACACTATAAAGATTCTATATCATCAGAACTAGACAATGTTTAGTGGTCAAAAATGGAAACCTCTGGGATACTTGATTTCAAAGAAACAGAAATCAGACCTGAAAAAAGGTACTTAAGAAATCATCTACTCTAGTGCTCAAGTGAGGCACCAGCTGAGGACCAGAGGCTAATGGACTCACCCAACCAAGTCGTACAGTGAGAGAGCCTGAATGAGAACATGGTGTGCTCTGAACAATTTAGAGCTCTCTCTACTCTACTCCACTATCCCGATTAAAACAGTTGTGATCTTGTGGTGCCTGGGTGGCTCAGTTGTTAAGCGTCTGCCTTCAGCTCAGGTCATGATCCCAGGGTCCTGGGATCGAGTCCCACATTGGGCTCCCTGCTTGGCAGGAAGCCTGCTTCTCCCTCTCCCACTCCCCCTGCTTGTGTTCCTGCTCTCGCCATCTCTCTGTCAAATAAATAAAAATCTTACAAAAAAAAAAAAAACACCCCAAAAAACAGTTGTGAGCTTAAGCACACTATCTGTCTTAGGGAAACAGCAAGTGCAGCTTAGCACTGCTTACTGCACCTGATCAAAGCAGATATCCTCCATCAGTAATGGACACTGTAAGAGCAACAGTAATCATGATGATGATACTGCATACAGGACTATGTGCCAAACATTAAGTACATTGTATGAATGAATTCATTTAATCTTTACCATAACCCCATGAGGTAAGCACTATTATTCCCTGTATACAGATGAGGAAACAGGGAGAAAAACTGTGACATGTCTAGTAAGTGGTGGAGGCAGAACTCAAGGCCAGGAAGCAAAGCTCCAGAATCAGCACTCTTAAATTCAAGTCCTTCCAGGTAACATGCTAAGAATATACCATTAAACACTTACAGTTTTTCTCTCAGTCTCTCGTAAGTTTCCATGTCAGGTTTGATCTGCTTGGTCAGCCAATGATACTGGCGTAACTGAGCAGCAGCATAATCTAAAAGAAGAATCCAGACTACTTTAGATGTCGGGGCATTATCAGACCTGTTACTAATAGGCCCGTTGAATAAAGTGAAAGCCAGTTTTACCGGAGAATCCCAGGTCGGGGTTTTTCCTCCTCTTCTTCCTCTCCCATCTCTCTGCGTCTTCTGCACTGATCTCCAGCAGCTTCACTTTCTCATAGTCCTCCCCTCTCGCTGCACAGTCCTGAAGAGGGGAGAAAACATTAGTTTTATTTCCTTATATAATTCTTTGATCCTTTTAAAATCAAGAGAGGCCTAAAGACTGCTATCAAGACTGTTTAAGTTGATTAGCTTGAAAAGAAAATTGTGTGCAATTTGCTATGATCTGTAAGAAGTAATGCATCTAGGGTTGCCTGGGTGGCTCAGTTGGTTGGATGTCTGGTCATGATCCCAGAGTCCTGGTATTGAGCACCACCACGTCAGGCTCCCTGCTCAGCGGGAAGTCTGCTTTTCCCTCTCCCTCTGCCCCTCCCCCTGCTTGTGCTCTCCCTTTCTCAAATAAATAAATCTTAAAAAAAAAAACAAAAACCCACCAGAGCTGCATTTCTTATTTAAAAAAAACAAAAAAACACCTCTGTAACACTGACACCAAAAACAGCCATGGTGGACACATTAGGTGTCCATTAAAAGCCTTTCTCCCCTCTTTTCCTAGCTCATGGCTGCCCATTTCCCAACCTCCCCTGCAGATGGATCAGGCCAGGTGACTTGGGCTGCTCAACAGGGAGCTGATACATGAGAGACTCATGAGCTTTATAGTTTTTTTTTTTTTAAGATTTTATTTATTTATTTGACAGAGAGAGAGAGAGCACAAGCAGGGAGACCGGCAGGTAGAGGGAAAAGCAGGCTCCCTCTGAGCAGAGCCGGATGTGGGGCTCGATCCCAGGACCCTGGGATCATGACCTGAGCTGAAGGCAGGCGCTTAACTGACTGAACCACCCAGGCGCCCCTATAGTTTGTTATCTTTGGAGCTTTTGTTACTGTAGCTTAGGCTCTTACTCTAATAGCCACTGCTTATGCCACTCTATGTGCCAGGCACTGCTGTTAAGTGTTTTACACATTTTAGTCTCCCAACTCTCTCAGAGCCGGAGTGCTCACCTTCCACGCCATATGCTGCCTCAACAAAACACAAGAGAATCCTGGAATCCACAGCTTGTGAGGATGGTGGAATTGTACTTACTTTTTTCTTTTCTTCTTCCTGCAGCTCCCATTCCAGACGAGCTTTTTTAGCCTCCCAGTTTGCAGGTAATTTAAGTCCTTTATCTTCCTCCACAACTTCCTGGTGATTTAACTTTCGAGCTTCATTCTACCACCAGAACACACAAAGTTTGTCGGCACAGGTATGGAAACAAATCTAAATAGACATTACCTGTCTTCTTGTATGGCAGGCATTCAAAGCAGATCTTTGGATTTTATCCTGAACGGTGGAGAGCCACTAGAGAATTTTACGTGTGTATTCGTGTTGGGGGAATTTTATGGAGGGGGAGATGAGGAAGTCAACACCTATTCCTATAACTTTAAATATTCTTTTACTACTTTCAAGGAACCAGGTGGTAGGGATGGAAAGAGCTATGGTTTGGAAGTAAGAAGACCTGAGGGATATATGGACTTGACTACTCTCTGGCTGTGTGATGTAAGCAAGTCTTTTAGGACTGGATTAAAACAGGGTTTCCCACAGCGCAAGTTCCACTGACTGGGGAGACTTGAGAGGATTTTAGATGCTACTGAATGACACCGAGTCACACACTGAGAAGGTGATTCCATTTTCATGTCTCTTTTAATTCAAATTGGGTCCAACACAAATTCTCGGCAACTAATGGGTTTAACACTTCTGAAAACACCTTTCCTAACACTCCTTTTAAGAACAAATAGGGTAGGAGACACCATCAGAATGCAACCCACAAAATCCAGACCGTGGGAAGCTACAGAAAAAAACAATCTTTTTTCCCAACGAAATCAAACAAAATGACCTCCCCCAACCCAAAACAAATAAAACACAAAAAAACTCAAAAAAAACCCCCAGAAACAGAAAAGATGAAAAGAGAACCTATAAAGACATAAAAATGTAAAATTCCTATCTTAAATAGTAATATTACATTTAAACAGCAATTTAACGATAAACACTGAGCAAGTGGACAAGTGGTCACATGTATAAACTGTGAAGGTGAGGGGAGAGAGACTCCAATCTAATGTTTATGAGGTTGTGAAAGTTTTTAGATCACAGAGTTAGTGGCAGAGTTAGACCGAGACCAAATTTCCTGATTTCTGGTTTTTTTTTCCCCCATCTATGAGTATTTTCATATCTCCTGTTTTAAAAGATTTTACTTTTAAGTAATCTTTACACCCAATGTGGGGCTTGATCACAACCCCAAGATCAAGAGTTGCATACTCCACTGACTGAGCCAGCCAGGCGCCCCTTTGATACCTCTTTAACAATACCACCATCACATTCCCAAAATAATTAATTCTTATCCTGTAATGTTCACATTTTCCTGATGGTCTCAAGTGTTCATTATTTTTTACAGTTTGAATTCAGACAAGTTCCATATATTGTGATTAGTCAATACATCTCTTAAGGTTTATTTAATCTATGGTTTCCTTCTCCATGTTTTTTATCCCCTGCTCTTTTGAGGACTGTGAAAATGATCAGGCTGACTGTCCTAGTTCCCAAAGTGCTAGTTGCCTCCCTATGATGTCCTTTAATAGGCTCCGTTGACCCCTGTATTTGTTGTAAATTGGTCATTAGATCTAGTGGTTCCATTCAGTTCAGGTAATATTTAACAAGTCTACTTATATGAAGCTAGTGTTATATACTTCTATCAGGAGACACACAATCTCTGATTGTCTCCCTTTTTGTGATGTTTGCAGTTACTGATTACCTAGATCCAGTAATCCATTAAAGATTAAAAAAGCATGATGTTTGAATTATATTATTACTTCTTCACATAACATCCAGCCTACTCTTTATACAGTATTTCATATTAAGTATGTGTGCCTGACTAGTTTTATTTTTAATTGTTATGTTAATCACCATACATTACATCATTAGTTTTTGATGTAGTGTTCCATGATTCATTGTTTGTGCATAACACCCAGTGCTCCACGCAGAACATGCCCTCTTTAATACCCACCACCAGGCTAGCCCAACCCCCCACCCCCTCCCCTCTAGAACCCTCAGGTTGTTTGTCAGAGTCGACAGAATGGGAGATGTTTGCAAAAGACATATCAGATAAAGGGCTAGTATCCAAAATCTGTAAAGAACTTCTTAAACTCAATGCCTGACTAGTTTTTAAACTGAGTTTTTCTGGGCAAATCCAGATAACTACACTCCTCACACATACCCTGTCCCCCGCTGCCTACAGGCCTCCCACCCTAATGAGGACTCTGCCTTTGCACTTGTTCCTACTGCTTGGATACCTCTTCCCCCAACTCCTTTACTTATCTGATAACATCCGGCTCATCTTTCAAGCAGCTTAGCTGTCCCATTAGTCTTTAGTTGTCTTTTTCTTCTGTGAATTTCTGAGGCACTTTGTTCCTCCCTCTAACATACAATCACCAAGTGGTGGAGTAAGTTTTGGTTATGGGCCTGCCTCCATAACCAGACAGGAGTCTTACCACATTTACCACTGTAGCCACACTAGCTAGTTGGTTATGGCACACTAGGAGCTCGGGGGTGAGTGGGGAGGAGGGTGTTAGGATGAATGAGTGAGTGGCCACTTGCTGTGTGACAACAGACGAGACCAGTGTCTGGGTCCAGAAACGGATTAAGTGAGACATTCTAGAAGTGAGACCTAAGCATGGCATTTTTAAAAAGTTCTAGAGTGATTCCAGTGCGCTACCAGGGTTGAAACCACCGGGAAAGATCTTTCTTCAGCACCGCGGGTCTGTCAGGCGCGCTGCTCCGGCTTGCTTGTCCCTCCACCAACGCGCACCGGCCGCCCAGGTGACAGGTCTCGGCTCCTCGGGGGCTACTCACCCGCTTCAGGTGCAGCTCCCGCAGTTTGCGCAGCCTCTGTTCGCGCTTCTGGGCGGCCAGCTCCGCGGCTGCCGCCAGGGGCAGCTCCCCCTCCTCCGCGCTGTCCACTCGCACCTGCGGCGAGGACAACCGACTGGAGGCGGGACGGCCCGGGCCGGTTCCCCGCCGGTCCCCCCGGGCCGGGCTGAGCCCTCACCGCCGTCCCGACCCACGGTGTGTGCGCCTCCCTCCCTGGCATCGCCTCTACGTCTAGGCCAAACCTCTAGCCGCAGACGCCCTTATCCCCAACCCCCGGGCAAAGCCTGCCACCCACCCTCTCAGCCTCAGCCTCAGCGGCCATCAACCAGCTGCGCTTTACCCCTCATACTTCCGGCGACAACAAATAACTTTTCCGACTCTCTCGCTCACTTCCGGCAGCCTGCCGCCGAAGGTTTCAGGGAAAACCCCGCCCCTTTCTGCTCGCCCGGGAGAATGAGGAGCCAATTACCGCCCGTCGCAGCCCTGGGCGGCATCCGATTGGGCCAGGCCTGTGCGCAGGGGCGTGGAATAGCGACACCTGGGAGGCGCGGGTAAAACCGGAGAAGAGACCTGGCGTCAGCGCCGTCGGGACGGTAAAGCGGAAGAGGGGAAAAGGGAGTAAGCCGCCAAATTTGTGAGAAAGCGACCCAAAGCACAAATTGTGCCCATCAACTGACGGACCTTATAGTTCAGATTTCTGAATACCAAATACAAAGCAGATTCACAGTTACCATCACGTCACCCTGTTTTAATCCCTGCCTAGCAGTTTATTGTCGCCCCGCTCAGTACAACGTGAGCTCCAAGGGAACAGCTGATTCCTTGTGGCCCCAACGGTACTTGGTGCAAGGTATGAACTAATTTCATACTGTTGAACGAATGAACAGATTGGTTGGGGATTATTTGGTATCTGGAGCATTTTCGTGATGCAGAAAGATTTCTTGGATTAATTTGAGGCCTTGACTTTCTTCTGAAAATTCTGCACAGAACAGCATTCTTCATATGCCTGGCCACTCATTCAATAGTGAACTGTATACTCGCTCTTATTTACTAACTAGTCTATTCTTTGGTTCACCATCTATGAAAAAGACAGTAAAACAATACCCATGTCACAGAGTAGTTTGAGGACAAATTAGATAATATGGGTGAAGTTATCTGTGACTAGTACCTGGCCCGTAGCAAATGATGAGTAATTGCTGACTTTTACCAGTTGGCATTAGATGTGCCCCTCTCCTGCCTGCAGTTTTCTTAAGTGTCTTTCTTCAGGGAAGCCTTAACCTCCACCACCTGAAGAGTCAGTTTCCCCTCTTATAGCTCATCATATTTCTTCTTTGTTGCATTTACATAAATGTAATTAAATAAATGTGGAATTTCTTGTTTAATGCCGTTAATTTAAATGAGACAAATTTCTTAACCGCTATCAAAGAAGCAAATCTAGGCCTTTATTTTTTCTGTATCATGGATGAATTGACAGAGGAGTCTTACATGTATTTACCTTCTTTAGGAATACAGAAATGTCGGTGACAAAATTATTTACAGTAATGATCTTACTGTATCAGAATTACAGGTTTTACAAAATATTTTGTCAGAACCCTACAAACTGAAACCAAATAATTAAGGAGAGTTTAATGAAGGGACTGTTTACAAAGTTGTAGACTGGGTTAAGAGAGACCAGCAAAAGAAAGCGAAGCATTCCAGGGCTAGCAGCAGGGGGAAGCCATTGCTACCCCTAATCCTAAAAAGGGAAGGGAAGGGTAGGGTAGGAGAAGGTCTTCAGACGGAAGCCGTGACTCAGGAAACCAGCCCATAATCCAGGCAGGGAATAAACCCCCTGACCTCGTTTTCTCCCAGACTTCTTATCTTCTGTAGGTGCCACTCCTTGGAAGGATCCAATGAGAAGAGAGCAATAAACAAGAGCGCTTATTGATGCTTTTTTTTTTCATGGACCAATCTAAGTTATTTATTTAAGCCATCTCCTGCCATAAGCAAAGGGATGGAAGATAGGTATGCTGGTCATCATTTGATACAAGTAAGGAAGGTGAGCTTAAGGTCCCATAGACTTCTGGTCCGTGTGCAGAGTCATGGTCCAAACCAGTGCTGTGGTCCCCACTGGGTGGTGGTCCAGGTTCTCTCTATTCGTCTTCATAGCCGGTTGGAAGTGGATTCACGTGAGAGTTATGGAATAGAGTATGATTACCATCTCCCCAGGGAAAGGGCTTGGACTTGATGCGGAGATGGGGTAGGCGACGAACTCGGGTCTCTCGTGCTCTCCGTGATGCGACTTCAGGAAGAGATTCAGCATGCTCACACCCACGCCAGGGAGTGCCACGAAGTAGGTGAGAGGCTTCCACCTGCGAGCTGAGCCCTCCTCGCCATGGGCGCCACTCGACATGGAACGCCCCAGCTGTGCCCCGGACCGACCTAGCGGCCCAGACAGCCGAGACACAGACGCCGCCGCCATTTTCGACCTGGACCTTTTTTTTTTTTTTTTTGTCTTATGAACACCAGAAATATATTTCTTGTAGTTCTGGAGGCTGGAGGCCTGAGTTATAGAGGCCAGCACTCGTGGGTGCAGAACAGAGTGGACACTGGTGGAAGGTGGTTCTAAAGGAGCAAACAAAATATCTAGCACAATTCTTTTCATGGGACATGGTAACAATTTCATCATTTTTTGTAGTCTTAGAAGAGCTCTTTGTTCAAGTTATACTTTACATATGTTTATAAGCTTGTAACAAAGAACAGAACAAGTTGTGTGGCCAGTTGAATTTCCCAAGATGAGAGAAGACCTTCCATCCTATGTGCTATTCTTACAATGTGACATTGACACACCTCCCAAGGAGATGTAAGATCTATACCCCTAATCCTTGAATATGTGACTGCGGAAGAAGTGACACTATGTGACTTCTGAGGCTAAGTCATAAAAGGGGAAGCAGATTCCACCTGGTTCTTTTGGGATGCTTGTTTTTTGAACCCAGTCACCATTCTTTGAGGAAACCCACACCAACTGGAGAGGTCATGTAGGACTGAAAATTGGTACAATCCTTAGGCAAAGCAATTTGGCAATATTTATAAAAATTACAAAGGCGTTTACTCTTTGACACAGCTATTACACTTCTGGGGATTTATGCTACAGGTGCAATTGCACAGATACAAAATGACTTAGGTACAAGGATTGCTTAGGGCATCTATTTGTTTTCTCATATGATTTAGTAAAGGTGACATGATAGCAGATTCATTGGGTGAGAACACACAATATTCTTTGTTGGCTGTCATTTAACGCTTGTTGGGTAAATTTGGTAAAGCCTCTGTATACATCAGTAACATCTTGGCCAACACAGAGAACAAAAACAGTGGGATGAATTCTCCCTCATGCCCAGGGAAAGCCAGGGTGCGATGATCTAACCATCCAGGTGGAAATCATGGCCTAAGATCCATGCCACATAACCACTGAGCTCCATTCAGAGCTGCTCAGTAAACACCTGGAAAGTGTGACCTATTGGTGCCAAACCATTTTCCTTCAGTATAACAGAATGCTCACAAAGTTCCAGGTATCCATCCCACATCTTGGATGTAATTGGGTTGGTTCTGTTTAGAGTGATTTTGTTGTTGTTGTTCCCAACACAGGGGTGCCTGGGTGTTCAAATGTTCATATCCTGGGGTAAACCACAGAAATCCATCCCAAATGTGGATATAGCCACCCATGGTTCTGACAGTCATATTTTTAGGATTCTTTTGGTTAACAAGTTGGTGGGCTGCCTGCATAGTTTGGTTAACAGAAGAAGAATACTTATGTCCTGTGTCATTAATAGTGTGTGTTGTAGGCCAGGCTTCTGGATCAGGGTTACTAATGTCAGATGTACTAAGGATACCAATCTCAGCATGTTCTTCCTTAATGTGTTGCATTAGGACCTTCCAATCACCCCCAGGAAGTGGTAGTATCCACCATGGTAATTCTAACAAGCTAGAGAGAGGAAGCTGTCCACATATTCAACAGTTGGATTGATTTTTATTTTGGGCAAATGAGTGGGCCTACTGCAGAAAGACATTTCCATCAGTTGTCCATCCATGACTGGACACCATAGGATAGACAGAAACCCAACCAAATGATTTCTAAAAATTATATGATTGTATTTGGGCTATGAATTTTCTGTGGATTTATTGCCCATCTCTATTGGGGAAATTAATATAAGAGCTCCAGGGCTTTGGGAGCAAATGTGAGGCAAACTCACATTTGTATCTGTGTTAACCTAAACCAGTTCTAAAGAACTGGAGTTTATTAAAGAGGGTATTTTACCACCAGCAGAGAAGCCTGACCTTGTGTCAAAGATCAAAAGTCATGAGAATTCCAATCAGAAGGAGTAATATTGCAAATATTTCAACTGGCTTAATCATCCTATAAAATGCTTATATAGCCTTCAAGTTTCCTTAAATATTAAGTATTTAGGCACCTAAGTATTCATAAAACTCCCCAATATAGACAAGTATTTCTACAATCAGAAATGCAAGGATCAGGGTTACATGTGTGAATAAAACTTTGGATAGTAGAGCTGGTATAACAATCATAGGATAAGAGGAATAGGAGTATAAAGTATGATGAAAAAAATTTTTTTTGAAATTGTAATATACAGGCCTGGTCCAGAGTCTTGGGATAGCTGTCTACTCAGATGTCACCTGCTTTTGGGATGTCATAAGTTTTAATTTTCTGATAGTGATGGATTGCCCACGAGGTATTAGAGCTTTCTTTAAATGAGAACCGTGAACCCAAGAATCAATGCCTTTGAGTTTAACTGCAGAAGGATTTGTCCAAGGTAACCTGGTAGGGTCTTTTCCATTGAGGCTATAAAGCATCCTTATGGAGATGTCTTTTCCAGTAGAATCTCCAGGTTGAAGGTGGTGCTGTAGGATGTCTGTCTCCTGGGAGCACTCTGTGGAAGAACTTTTCTACCAAGCATGCATTTTCCTTAAGGCCTCTATCACCCCTTGAAATATTCAAGCATTTATCCTTTAATTAATAAAGGTTCATGAACTCCTGACCTTAATCTCATAGGTCTCCCAGGTATGATCTCAAAGGACAATAATTTATGTTTTTTGAAAGGTGTGCACCTTAAATTTAACAATATAATTGGCAGTAACTTAAGCCAGGGTGAGTTAAAGCCTTCTCTAAATTTAACTAGTTGCGTTTTAATTATACCATCTGTCCTTTCTGCCAATCCTGATTACTAATGAAAATGTAAAATAGGCCAAATATCAAAATTGTCTTAATTATTTGCCCACTAATGGGTCCGTCGATTGCTGTGCAATTCAGATGGGATTCTCCCATTGGGAGTGATATTTCCTAATTATAACTTGTCTATTGCTGATGCAGTGGCTCTGTGACAGGGGAAGCCTTCTACCCAATGGGCA